GGCCCCTGTGGTGACCCTTGTAATGCCGGAGACGGGCCCCTCAGGGGACCCGCTGGGGGGCCCCTCAAGGGGCCCCTTGGGGGGCCCCCCATGGGGCCCCTCTTCCAGCGCAGTTGACAGCAGCCTGAGGCCCCCTCAGGGGCCCCCTGGGGCCCCCTGGGGGGCCCCCAGAAGCCCAAGGGCCTCTCTGGGGCTGCCAGCTGTGCCCTTAAGCCCCCGGGACTTTGCTGTGACCCGCCGCTCCTCAGCAAGTGCCTCTCAGAGCCCAAGGGGGCCCCCGGGGGGCCCCCTGAAGAGAGGGTCTCGGCTGGCGGGGGCCCCTGGGGGCCCCCCCAAACCAGAGGGGGCAGCAAGCAGCTCTTTGCTGCAGCAAGCAGCAGCAGCAGGGCTGCGGGGGGTCCCCTGCCCCAATTGCTGCTTCGTAGTGCCGCTGCAGCACATTGCTCTTTGCGCACAGTGGCAAATTAGACATGGTGAGTCATGCTGGCTAGCTAGCTAGCCAGCTAGCTAGCCAGCTAGCTAGCCAGCTAGCTAGCCAGCCAGCTAACCAGCTAGCTAACTAGATAGCTAGTTGGCCAGACAGCTGGTCATCTAGCTAGCCAGCTAGCTAGCCAGCCACCCATTTAGCCAGCTAGCCATCTAGCCAGCCGTCCAACCAGCTAGCTAGCCAGCTAGACAGCTAACTAGCTAGCTAGCTAGCTGCCGGCTAGCGGCGCAGCTGCTGCGCTAGAAGACGTGGAGAAGCTAGCCGCTGCTGCAGCGTGGCCTATGGCTAGCTGCTGGCTAGCTAGGTGGCTAGCTGCTGTGTAGCCAGTGCAGCTAGCTGGCGGGCCAGCTAGCTAGCTACGAGTTGATGCTTCTCCAGAAGCCTCGCTAGCTGCTGCTGCAGTCCAAATGTGCTGCTGTTCTTGCTGCAGCAGCACCGCTATTTGAAACGGCCCCCCAGGGGGCCCCCTGCCCTTCGGACTTTCCCTGTTGGGGCCCCCCGCCCGCCGGAGCAGCAGCAGCAGCCCCCCGCTACCCGCCAGCGAAGCCAGCAGCAGCAGCACCAGCAGCAGCTGCTGCTGCTGCTGCTGCGCCAGGGGCGTGGGGCCAGCCGCAGCACTGTGGGGCCCCACAGCCCCTGGGGCAGCCACTTCTTAAGGAAACTTTCACAGTCAAAGGTGGGAGGGTTTGGGGCAATGTGCCTCCTTCTTTTTTCTCAAGTCCTTTCAATGTGCATTCCTGGGCCCCCTAGAGTTGGCCCCACGCGTTGGGGGCCCCGCAGGGGCCCCCCAGGGGCCGCGCAGGGGCCCCCCAGGAAGGCCCCCAGGGGGCCCCCAGTGGGACCCTGGGGGCCCCCCTGGAGGGCAGAGCCCCCCAGGGGGCCCCCGGGGTGCCCTCAGGGGGCTCCATGAGGGCCCCTAGGGGGTTCCAGGGGCCTTGGAGGGGCCCCTCAGGGGGCCCCCAGGGGCCCTTAAGGGCCCCACAACGGGTTTTTGAAGGCCCTGGGGGCCCCCCGAAGGGTCTTTTGCAAAGGTTTTAAACACTTTTGGGTACTTTTTGCCTTTGCCAGTACTTTCAGGAGCTCAAAGGCCAGCTAAAAGGGCAGCAGTGGGGGCCCCCAGGTGGGGGCCCCCCACTGCTGGGTTGTGCAGGGCCATTGGGGGCCCCTGGGGGCCCCCTGGGGAGGCCTAGGGGCCCCTCAGGGGCCTTTAGTTTGTCTTAGTCTCAGCAGAAAACAAAGAGGGTCAGAATTAATTAAATATCTTTTCTCTTTTGGCTTTTTTATAGAGCTCTTTGGCCAACTCTTCAGGTGTACAGACACCTGAAGGGCGAGATTGAATGCCCATTGCTGCACCCTCCCAGGGGCCCCCAAGACTCCGGGAAGGGGCCCCCGAGGCTACAAAAGGGGGCCCCCGGGGCTACAACAGGGGGCCCCCAGGGCTAGAAAAGGGGGCCCCCGAAAAGGGGGCCCTCAGGGCCCCCACCCAGGGGGCCCCCTATCCAGGGCTTGGGGAGGGGGATAGGGGCCCCCTAGCCCGGGGAGAGGGGGCCCTGGGCTTAGGGGCCCCAGTACCCTCTTGAGAAGGGCCCACAGGGGCCCCCCTGTGAGCTCCTGTGCCCTATTGGGGGACCCCCCTAGTCAGAGGCCCCTTGAAGCATTTCTGTGAAGCTTTTAATAATTTTTTTTTGCGGAATTGAGGTGTACGTACGCCTCCTATTTGAGGTGTACGTACACCCCGTACCTGCGGTGTACGTACACCCCAGCGCCCGGCTCTTCTGCTGCGGAGGCCGCGAACAGCTTGAGGCCAATTGAGCATATTTATCCTCTATAGCTTGAGTTTTAGGGCTTCTAGTTTAGGGTTTAGGGTTTAGGGTTTAGGGTTTAGGGTTTAGGGGTGAAGGGAGATTTCTTCGAAAACCCGGGGGGCCCGGGGCCCCAGGGGCCCAAGGCGAGCAGCAAACTGTTGGGGCTATTTTATTGAGAAGTTCCGGAAAAGGAATACTTTATTTTATTTAAAAAGGCAAAAGAAGTTTTTAATTTTATTTAAAAAGATAAATTCCAATTTGCTGCACCTGACAGCCTCAGGGGCCTCGGGGGGCCCCCTGGGTCTGTTTAGTGGGGAGGCCGGGGGCCCCCTGCTCTGCTTCTTGTTTCTGAAGCTCCTGGGCCTCTGGCTGCTTCTTTTGCTGCAGGGGGCCTCAGCAGCAGCAGCAGCAGCAGCGAGAGAACAGCGCAGCAGCAGCAACAGCAGCAGCAGCGGCAGCAGCGGAAGAACAGCGCAGCAGCAGCAGCAGCAGCGCGTCGGGAGAAGGGCCCCTGCTCTTCTGCTGCTGCTGCCCTGGGGGCCCCTGCGAAACTCTATGAGTGGAGGGGGGCCCCCAGAGGGGCCCCCAAAGTGCCACGGGGCTGATGGCTGCTGCAGTACCCTCTCGGCTGCAGGGGCCCCCCTACGGCGGGGAGGCCCCCGAGGGGCCCCCCGGTGTACCCTATTTTGTGGCAGCAGCAGGGGCCCCCCTGGGGGGGGATGGCGGGCCGCTGCTGCGGGGGGCCCCCGCGCTGCCCCCGCAGCAGCAGCAGCAGCAGCAGCAGCAGCAGCAGCAGCAGCAAGACCTGCATGCAGTGGGGACTGTGCTGGTGCAGCAAGTGGCCAAAGCCCACGGCTTTGAGGAGACAGTCAAAAGGGGGGAGGGCCCCACACTTTCTGAGGGGGCTGCGAGGCTTATCTATGCAGCAGTTGAGGGCAGGCTCTTACAGGTTTGCTGCTGCTGCTGCTGCTGCTGCTGCTGCTGGCGTTGGTGCTGCTGCTGGTCTTGGTGCTGCTGCTGTGGCGCTGCTGTTCCTTTGCCCCAATGAGATGCGGAACAGCAGCAGCGCGTAAGCCGGAGGGCTTAAACTCGCCGTTTCCCAGGGTCTAGGGTTTAGGGTTTAGGGTTTAGGGTTTAGGGTTTGGGCGTGCAGCTGCTGTCTCTGGCCCTAAGGCTCTGCCGCCGCAGCGCGCGAGTGGCTGGGGGAGGGGTTTTGTGTGTCTCGGACGTGAAGGAGGCGATGCGGATTCTGAACTTCAAGGTCTGCTGCTGCTGCTGCTGCTGCTGCTGTTGCTGCTGCTGCTGCGCTTGCTGCTGCTGCAGTGCTCTTTGGGCCGCTGCTGCTGCTGCTGTTGGTTGCCCGTCGGTGTGCCGCTGCGTCTGCTGCCGCGGAGCAGCGCCAGCTCGCCTCCTAGCCGCACCCACAGCAGCAGCAGCAGCAGCAGCAGCAGCAGCAGCAGCAGCAGCAGCAGCAGCAG